TAAAAATCCTATTTTCTGGAGAAACGAATACATTTAAGGTCTCAACCTATTTAATATTCATACTATGGCGGTGTATGATGCATCTATGCATTAAAACAAAAATTCAATTTTTTATAAAAATTTTGAAATATGTGGGCTAACCACTATGAAAAAGCTGAATTTTCTAGTTAAAGACTTTATATACTATTTACCATCTTTCCTGTTGTTTAAAAAATACCTAAATTCACTCCAAAATTTTATATATATTTGCTAAACTTATATTTATGGTACGTGTGAATCATTTTATATTTTCCAATGATTAATTTATTTAACATTCAAATACCACTTAATATGTTGATTAACCCCAATAAAAATCCAATTTTCTAGAGAAACGAAAACATTTAAGGTCTCAAACCTATTTAATATCCATACTATGGCGGTGTATGATGCATCTATGCATTAAAACAAAAATTTTATTTTTTATAAAATTTTTGAAATATGTGGGCTAACCACTATGAAAAAGCTGAATTTTCTAGTTAAATACTTTATATACTATTTACCATCTTTCGTGTTGTTTAAAAAATACCTAAATTCACTCATAATTTTTATATATATTTGCTAAACTTATCTTTATGGTGCGTGTGAATCATTTTAAATTTTCCAATGATTAATTTATTTAACATTCAAATACCACTTAATATGTGGATTAACCCCAATAAAAATCCTATTTTCTGGAGAAACGAAAACATTTAAGTTCTCAAACCTATTTAATATTCATACTATGGTGGTGTATGATGTAGCTATGCATTAAAAAAAAAATTCCATATTTTTGATAATTTTCTTGAAATATGTGGGCTAACCCCTGTGAAAAATTTGAATTTTCTAATTAAATACTATATATACTATTTACCATATTTCGTGATGTTTAAAAAATACCTAAGTTCACTCATAATTTTTATATATATTTGCTAAACTTATCTTTATGGTACGTGTGAATCATTTTAATTTTTCCAATGATTAATTTTTTTTAACATTCAAATACCACTTAATATGTGGATTAACCCCAATAAAAATCCAATTTTCTAGAGAAACGAAAACATTTAAGGTCTCAAACCTATTTAATATTCATACTATGGCGGTGTATGATGCATCTATGCATTAAAAAAAAATTCTATTTTTTATAAAATTTTTGAAATATGTGGGCTAACCATTATGAAAAACCTGAATTTTCTAGTTAAATACTTTATATACTATTTACCATCTTTCGTGTTATTTAAAAAATACCTAAACGGTAATTAAGCATCTCAAATAGTTAGTTGCTTGCACTGTTTGTGGGGCCCACTGATACGTGCAGAACCGGCTCTGAGAATTATGCGGTCTAAGGCGATTTCTTAACGATTTCACCTAATTTCTTTTTTTTTTACAGATCTGGGGGCCTAAAATATTTTCTTTTAGAAGTCTGTATACATGTAACTTTTTCAAAAAAATTTGAAGGCCAAGGCCAATATTTCATCCGGTTTTATCCAACGCCGGTCCTGAATACGTGACAGCCGGTGATTGATTCGTTTTTATTTTTTTTTATTCTTTTATTTAAAAAGAAAATAAGTATTCTCAAATGGGGTGATAGGGTTGAAGATGCTCTAATAACAACTAACTATGTGTATTAGTATTATTTTTAAAAGCACGTAGAAGCATCAAACATGAAAGGCATAGTCGCTTGCTTGATATACTTCGCAGTTTCTTCTGCATATATTGTTAAGGCGTTTGGAATAGTAAACTCCAAAAGCATTGTCTTATAAGATCGTCACAAAATAATAAAGTAATGATCTTAATTAGATGGAATAAACTTTAATCATCGTGTGTATTATTTATATACAGATATCAACCAACTTGTACCTTTTATATTACTCACACTCTTTAAGTCCTAACTCCAAAGCACCAACCTCATGATTCACTTTTTTTTTCTTTTTGAGATCTTATATATTTACTCTGGTTATATAGTCAACGGAATGTTTGGGTTATTTATTTAAGGTCTCTGTCTTTTATAACTGGTTGATACTGAACCAAACCGTGAATTAATATTAGCATGGCCTGTGGAAGAAACTGAATACTTTTACCATTATGTTAATATTTAATAGCCAACTATGACTGAGAGATCGTACGTAGTAAGAAAATCCAAACCTTAATATATATCTCCCGCGTTAAGTTGAAAACCAGTACTCTCTCAAAATGATTTCTTATTTTAGCAAACATCACTATAACGTAAAATCCAGATGGAGATTGATATACTATATGTACGAGATACAATAGACGACATTAACTAATAATTAAAGAAAAAATATTTTTGAAAAGAGAAGTGAAGAGAACAAATTATGCTTGTTGACACAATGCAATTGTGTAAATCCTTCAATTCATTAGGTTTTAATGGAATGACCAATGCCGGGGCTGTTTCCAGGAGCTGTTGGCCGGAACTGATCAACACCGTGTTCTTCGTTGCTAATGGTACTTTTTTTCACCGAGCCGACGGCGGTTGTGCTCGAGCCACCGGAGACGTCGTGCACCCTGAAAGTAGTTTTTCTGTTTTTGATTGGCTTTCTATGAGTTTTCAAGTGTCTTGCCTCGGTCGGTAGAATCTCATGACATACGATTATGGTACTAATAAGAAAAACTATGCAAAAATTCAAGAACACAGCTTTCGCCATTGATGATGAGGGATTTATGTTAATAAAGAATGCAAAGAAGTAAACAAGAACGATAAGCCTCTCCGACGTTTCTTTAGGTTTTAAAGGATGATTTCAAGTGTCTTTAAGCTTGTAGAAAAAAGATATAAATAGTAGTTAAGATATATGTCTGGAGAGTCTTGAATCTTAAAATGTTTAAGGAAGCTTGGGTTTAAGGGTGTCTATATATAGGGCCATGTTAACCAAATGGGTTACTCAACACATATTATATTATTTTCTTCGAAAAAAATATTTAAACTAAATTATAATGTCCATATTAATTAATTAATGTATGATATAATCATAGTTCATGTGACTTGAGAAGGAATCTAGCTCTTAGCGCCTTAGATGAGCTAAAAGGTTCACTGCCACCACTTCACAGTGTGCTTAATTAGTTGTCTATATTCCCCTTTGTCTCCTTACCGTTATTTTATATAGAGAAAAGTATAACGAGTGTCATAAATTTATAAGGAAATAAACATGTAGTAATGAAAAAAATACTAATGTGATACTTAAGTTAAGGTTGTCAGGTTGGTGTACTTTTGCCGCACACTGAAAAATGGCTATGTCGTGTAATTTCTTTCAGTTTCAGAATATCAAAAGTGAACTAAATTAGTTTTTATTTTCTATCAGACAAGCAGAGATATTTTATTTTCTGTTATACTTACCCATACTGCCATCAATGTGGTCCACAAAGGAAGGAAAATGTGCAATCATAACAAAATATATATTGAATGTAGGTTAAGAGAAGTTTACAAAAAAAAAAAGTAGGTTAAGAGAGTACCTTTTTATTTTCTATCTCACTTTTCATCTTGTTTACCATATTCGTGCTAAAAATGATTAGCCATCTTAAACGGAAATATTACTTTATATTAAAAATTAACACAAATTTGATGTATTCAATATAATCTCTGTCAAAATGTGTTTATATAATAAGCACAAAATGGTTATATTATCAATATAAAATAGTTAATTTCATGGATTTATTTTTAAAATCAATTAATAGTGAGTATTTGACATATATTTTTTGTATAACTTTTTTTTTATTAACCTGAAAGTATCATATGTCCATGGAGAAACCCAGACTAATCCCTAAGGAGAGGTGGAGCCATGGATAGATTATCTCTCCGGATATTCAAATGAGTCTTAAAGCATGAATACATATCAGTGTTAGGTGACCAGAATAATTGTGATTTAGTTTCGCGCAGCAGATGAATCGAACCTGAAACATGTTGGTGTCTCAACACCGTCTCCTTACCACTCGACCACAATCACCCGATCAGTTATATAACTTAATCCGCAAAAAAAAAAACAATAAACAGGGGGGAAGAAGTAATTTCATAAAATTGCTCATAACGTTATATATGATTTATTTTATTCTATTGTAAGCATACATGAAATATCAATATGTTTCGTATTATGCATGCATACCGCAGCTAAACACATGTGCATTGACCGATTGTTAAATACGTTTCGGCTCGTTCATTTTGAATACATAATACGAGTGGTGCGTTCATCGCGTTCAGAAACTCCCGAAATATTAGCTATCGGTACAATTTGGAAAAGAAAACTAATAAATAGTATCGTAGCCGTACGGTATTATAATATTACCACACTTGCAAGTTGATAAACCCTACCTGTGAGACCTATACTATAAGTTAAAAGGCTAAGTACATATTGATCGACAGCGAGAACATGTTTTAAGTACTCCAAGACCACTGGGTGCTTATTCTATCATTCTTTATGAAAATTTTAATATTTTAGCTTCAAACCACCCTTCAAACTAGTCAAGAGCTGCACGCCTGCACCTTTTGTGATTATCAAACATAACCATAAAAAAAAGCTTTCGTTATATAATAAGATAAAAACAGAGTGTCCTTTGCCACTATTCCATAAGCCCTAAGGCCGCTATTGCTTGTGACCGCTAATTATTAATTAAGAATTAAACCAAATATGGAAAAGGGTTAGTTGGCTCAAGTCAGCTACAACCGTCAATTTAAAGATCTAGAGACCGCATAATCTTTTCTCAGATCCATCACCATGATTATGACAGATTACTAATCTCGGACTTCATTTTTTTAATTTTCTTTTCAAAAAGAATTCACCCCAAGTGTCACGGTTATAACACTCATAGAAACCAACTGTGTCTAAAATTTGGCTGTAGAGTTGTGCAGATAAATCCACAGTAATTCCTAACAAGTTGAACGTTTATTTAAGCTAAGACCACCATTAACCCCATCGTTTAAGAGGATTCTTAAGAGGTGGATCCCATTATTTTCATAAGAACCACTTCCTCTTTTTTTGTAAGAGTCAATTTTACTTGTTTTTTTGTACTGTTCGCAGACTCCACTGATACATGGTGATCCGCGATTGGTTCATTTTAAATCAATAAAAATAAAAATAAAAACCTCAAAGGATTAATCATGCTCTAATATGTTCTCTTACAACAAGCTGTTCATTAGTTTTTCATAGATCATAAAGAATATATACATATTTTCTGTTATTTTTGTCATGATACATATTTCTGTTTATTTCATGGTAAATGAAAATCCTACAAAATACACAAAGTATGTTATCTCATAATTTCTAAAAAAAATAGCCGCCTAAAACCGTTTAAACATTCGCGGTTCGCCGAAGTCACATAACGTCTGTTTGGACTTTGGATGCTATTATGTGTCAAATCACCATATTGTATGAGAGTGGAGCGCCTGTCATTGCCTAGCATCCAAGCGTCATCCAGGCCAGTTTTAAGATACTGAGAAATATAATAACTGGTAATGCTAATTACTATTACGATTATGCAAACTAAAACTAAACAATTAGCGGAAAAGGGTGCAACTCCTTGTTTATGTTACCCTAATGTATCCACATATAGTTTCCGCGTTACCCTTTCCTTGTACGTCCTTTTCAAATGTGATGTACATGTTTTTTAATACTATTTTATATTTTATATTTTATATCGATGTAAAGTTCGTGGTTGGTGAAAAGATACCGATGTTCGCATGTCAAAAAATAGTTCGTTTAATATCTGGGATGTATCACTTAAATATGTGACTAATAAAATTTGGTCCATTGATGTGTCTACGAGTGGTTATAAAATTCGTATCAGTAATGAAATATATAAAATTTTCTACTCCATTAATTCCATCTTTATCAGTAACCTTTTGGATTATATATGGAATCGTCGAAACATTATGTAATTTATGTGTAAAAAAACATGGAGTACGTAAAGAGCCTTGTTTTTCTAAGCATGCATGCACCCTTTAGTTTACGAACTATATTATATATAATCTCAATGTTGTTTGTACATAGAAAGGGAGGCCAAGAACCTAAATTTGTGTACACAGACAATCGTAATGTGGAAATATATCGCATTGAAGGTATAATTCATATTAGATAAACGAAGAAGGAAAGAATTAACGTAGCATAACACAAAGCAATTCACCTAAAGTGCAAGAATCATCGATTACAATCACGGGAAACAGACCAATCAATACATAGAAACCAAACCCAGGCAATACACGACGCACACACAACATCATACTTTGTCACAAGTAAATGTCTAAAATATAACCCTAGCATCTTCTTTGTCTGAACAACATATAACTAGTGACCAATTCCGGGACTGTTCCCGGGTTTAGTAGGCCGGAATGCATCCAAGGAATGATCTTCTGTCTCTACCTTGCTTGAAATATTCAAACTGCTACCATCAACTTTCTTCGAGATACTAGAGATCCCCAAAGATTTCATTGGTCGACCTTCAATGATATGAGGCTCTTGGATGAGAATTAGCACTATTAGTAGCAAAACCAAGGTTGTCAAAGCGCATTTAGCCATAACAATTATCTGAGGTAGTTTATAGATTGCACGAAACGACCAAAAAACGTAAGAAGTTTATCTGTACGGAGACTATTGTGTAAGAGTTAAATGAATTTATGAGTCAATGGCTTCAACTCTAGATGGCTATTTATGGAGAATAAAAGTGACTACCTGGACCATGCATGTGAACCTCCAACAAACAGAGCAATAAATTATTTATTTATAAACATTATATTATATATATCTATATACTCATGGAAAATAATTAAGAGTTTTTGTTATAAATTCCAGGCTTCTAGGAATATTCCGCGAATAGAGCTCATTTATATGCAAAGTTGCAAACATATAGCAAAAACCGTCGAACAAGCCATAGGAGTACATGCATGTCCAAGAAAAATATACAACCTAATTATCCTTCTAGCTATAATTTTAAAATTTGTGTACGAGATATAACCAAAATCATCCTTAGGATCATCTACACAGGAAGATACATATCTCACTACATGGTTCAGGATTTTTCAACCACATCACGGCAGATAAATACATTTGAATTGCTTTTGAAAGTTATTACTAATTATAATCTCTTAATCTATGTTGACATCAATGATATATTATCATGTAAATTACCATCTGCTTGTCTACAACTCTCTAAACAACTCCATATATACAATTAAATTTGAGATAACCAGATATTTTTCGAGTTATCACATATTAGTTTTTGTGTGAACTTGTATCTTAAACTCTAAGGTGTTTGAAGGGAATGATATTCTGTAAGTTTCCCTTTAAATTAACATATATAATATGATCATTAATTAGGGAAAACATATATAGTGATTTTTGGTGAATATTTGCACCGAATAATAAAAAGCATATTCCTCGGACGACATACTAATTCGAACCAAATTGATGTATGTGGTCATCGTTAAAAAGTGTAAGAAGATGGGTGCACGTTTAGAGCTAAGTCCTTTTAACTATATAAATGTTTTTTTTTAGTTTCTTACAGAACTTTTTAAGATTCTCACGAGATCTCGTGATTGTGAGTTTTACAACTGGTACTAAATTAGTGTTTTTACTGCACATGCATAAGAATTGTATTTGGATCTTCCTGTTCCGGTGCTTTACGGCTATACAATATGCATGTTGCGCTGTGTATATGTTAATATATTTTATTGGTAAATTAACTATAGTTATATGCTTTATATAGTAAAACCTCATGAGTTTGACATTGTGTGCTCATAATGTGTTCATTATAGTTTAATTTCTGTACATTTAAAGTAGTAATGTATGTACCTCAAAATTATATACAAATTGCTAATACTTGAGTATGCTGAGTAAACCCTCACAGTAATCCAATGGTCCAGAGTCGACGATTTTAGACTTTAGGTTTTATCAATCATGAAGTTTAACAGTATAACTAGAAATAAATTTATAAAAGACATATGGACAGAGAAGTCTATACCTAAAAAAAAAAAGTCTATACCTAATATAAAAATAATCTAGTTTTATCTTTAGATATTATAAGTTATAATTTATGTTTTTAACAGAACTACAACCAACTTTTAAACTTCAGAGTTATATGTTCTATAAATCTTTCAATGATTTATAGTATTTCTAGTAACAAAACAAAAAGTTATATTTTGAGGCTTATAGTATTTCTAGTAGAAAACAAAACAGTTATATTTTGAGAATGCCTCAAAATAGATGAAGTTTTACTAGATGCACAAAATGATTTTTTTTTCGACTCACAAAATAATTTAATAATATAAACTTGCATTAAAATTAAATCATTTCACATATTTGATCTAGAACCTATAAATTCAAGGAACACACGATTGTGAATATGCATTTTGTTAAACCTTTGAATGTCGTATGGTAACATGAAGCACCAGTACCTGTCTAGTAGTAGAGTAGTATATCCTACACCAGTGGTATCCTACCAAATATATTATTTTATCATTCAACAATATAACTGCCTTGAATATTGTACTTGGGTAAATTTCCAATAATAAATATTAAAATGTTGAATATTAATTATATTATTCAACAAAGTTCATCATTCCAATTTCCAACTGCAACAAAGAAGAACCATTAGTTATTTTACTACAGTCACTTTCTATATTTATAAAGTACAGTTTTAGCTTCAGCTAACGGAGAATGACGAAAAAAGTAATACAATATTTCCTTCTTACTCCGTATTAGTTTTTAAGCGCTATATTAATTGTAGTAGCTAAAAGAACTCAGTTAAGTCATTTTCATTTTCCCTAATTTGGACATATGTAAACCTTCCTTTTTGTATCGCCATTAATTTGTAAATATTTTTAAGAGTCCCAGTTTTGTATAAGATTTATATTTTACACACACATATGTTTTTTTTGTGCTATATATATATATAATATAAAGGTGTGATGGGGACCAAGAGAAAGAAGAAAAACATTCAACTCCTTTCTATCTCATCTCATTCCTTTTTTTAGAGAATAATAGAATAAAATTTTTCCTCACCAAAATTAAGAAAAAACAATCATTTTCACTTATTTTTATTATTTTATTCTTCTTTATTATTTTCCTATTTGTTCTTAACGTTCTTCAAATTGTCACCAATTAGAGCCTAAAAGATCTCCATGCTTTGCAATTACCTTTTGCACATGGTGGCAAGTAGTAAGAAGCTCACTACTGAAGTATCTGCTATATATACTATATTGACATCCAAATTCATGCAAGAAATAAAGTTCCAAATGAAATAAAACACAAATCGTATTTAACTGTACTAATGAACTAGAATAATTTATAATCAACCAACTTACGGATGACATATTATAAATTACGCACACTAAATTGAAATTACACTTAACACAATAATTTTGGATACATAGTTTTTTAAAAAAAAATTAGGATACATAGTAATTTAGTAAAAGCAACTAAGCAGTACCCTAATATAAAATCTTTTTAAGCCTTAGGCTCATTGTTATTGACAGCATGTCCAACGTCTGAACTATATCCTGGTGTCGCGTTAGGCTTGAAGTCATCTTTAAAAACCCTTCAACAGTATTATTATTCTCCTTCATCTTAATTATGACCAATGCCCGGACAATTACCTGGTGAAGTAGGCCAATCATTAATATAACCGTGCCGTGGATCGATGATCACGATCATCACCGTCGGTTTGCAATTGTCTTGCCTCATTGTATAGTATTTATCAAATACAGTCGATAAGAAGAGAAAGGTATGAATGATATAAGCTGAGGGTTTCATGTTATTTTTTTATGTGTGGGATTAGTTTCTAGGTTTTGTGAAAGAAGACGGTGAGATCACATGACTTTTTTCTTTACAAAAGAGATCACCCTACTTTGGCTTATGTTTTTAAGTTACTTGAAAGAGCAATCGTTTTATAAGTGTAATATGAATGGAAGTGAAACAATGAGCCCAGTGATTTAATTTGGACCATTCATGTATCAATTTCCGTAGTATAGGAAAATCCATAATGTAAATTATAGAACAAAGGTGTAATAGTAGTATTAAACTTATGCTTTAGTAGACAAACGATGGACGGCAAATAGCCAAGCTTCGAAAAGGAGTTTTGAAAGGGCCATTTGGTATCTTTTAAGGTACTTATAATATCAGAAACGTCGGTTTCAATCATCACAAAATATAAATCAACTTTAAATTTATAAGTTTTTTTTTGCTATTAATTTAGTAAACAAATCAAAGATAATTTAATAGTTCAAAAAGAAAATCAAAGATAATTTAATATGACACAATCTAAGCGTGCAGATGTCCTGAATCTCTCATAGTTCCATTGTTGAATACACAACTCATACTTGTACCTTTTGTCAAATTTTCAGTGGAAATAAAACATAGTCGGTGATCAACGTTGCTGGCGATAATAAAGATATTAACTCTGCATGTGTTATATCCTAAACACTACATTCAGAGGTTGTAAATTAGAGAAAAAAATTGTAAGCATGAAGGGGAAAACATTTTATCTGGTCCATCAGGAGTAACCAGGGTTTTTATTCATTTGATTATATACAAAATCGTTTCCATATAATAAACGATCATATTTGGCCCTGAGATGAAATGTTTGTTTACATTAGTTTATAAAATGCCAAAGGGTAACTGAGTTTCCACAAAAGCCGCCCTTCGCTAACCATAGAAAGACACTGATGCTTGAAGGACCCTCTCCCATCTGGCCATCTCCGTATAGATAATATATACAAAAGATTTATATATACTTTAGACTTTAAAAAATATGGTGCAAATCTTGAAAGAAATCCTGTTTTATTTATAGATGTATATAATCCACAAAAGTTATATAGCATGGTTGTTGGGAATTGGAATGCTTCTCTTTCTTAAATCTTTTATATTTTTTTCAAGAGAATTCACTAGTTTAATCTTTATTTTCTTTTTTTAAAAAGATGGTCTGAGTAATTATTTTAAGATACGTTTTCAATAAAAATTTGGTCATATATACTGAAATTTTGCATTTGTTGAGATTCCCTGGGTATATGATCACATTCTTGACTCCTAAAGTATATTATAAAATTAGGACACTCCACTCACAAGTACAAGATCTTTTCCACTACCAAAAGGGTGGCTACTGGCTACCATCAGGTCAGATTTATAAAATGTTCGTACAAAACATAAATGTAACATTTACATGTACCAACTACCAGTATTAGTATTTTCTAATTTGCCTTCTAGAACCGTTAAGTGGTATAACTTTATTTCTCTGACCGTAGTAGTCTCTTATAACTTTGTTATATTTGTTTTCTAACAAAGCTCTAGAACTAGTTGTTTTCTTTTCTTGAGAACGAGCTGTTGTTTCCAGATGAATAGGTAAAAACAAATAAAGTTAGACTAAAATTGGTAAAGTGAATAACAAAAGACAAACAAAATCCTAAGAGCATGATTAACCCTAAAACCCCTCATGGATTTTTTAGAACTTTTTTTACTTTTTTTTTATTTAAAAAAAAAAATTAAAAAGTAAATCAATCGTGGTCCATCACATGTTAGTAGAATCCGTGAACAGTGCAAAAAACACTCAATAATCGGTATTTAATTCAAAGTTTTTCTAATTAATTTTTAAGGGTTTTGTGAAACCCATACACTAAAAACTCACTAAAACCCCCACTAATAACTCCCTATAATCATGGTCTAATATAGGCAGCAAGCCGTCGAGTGTCTTATTCTCTTTTAGCCAGAACAAAATAATTAGAGTTATCTGTATGTTTTATTGGTTTTAGATGTTAAATCGAACTTGCGAATAATAAATCAATTATTTTATCTCTTAAAAAGTCTTCTTTTATAGATATACATTAAATGATCGTCTGATCAAACCAAACGGACTATTCATTCGCTCTAAGGTTAACAGTGACACAATCACATGCAAAATGCCCTGAATCGAGGGTTATTGCAAAAAAATTGAAATACTTCATCGGACCAACCAATTTCACTAAGTTCACTATAAAGAATATTTTTAAAAGTCTCGAAAAATAAAAGAATTTTTTTGTAGGATTGATTGAAATGTATCTAGACGTCGTCATGCGATTTTTTTTATATCGACACTCCATCCATTTTTTAGTTTTTTTTTGAACTTTTAATGTGTCCGACAACGCCGCCATGCTTCTAAAAATATACTGTACTAGTAAGTATTAAAAATAAATAAAGCACAACATTTTGCTATGAAACATTAAAGTAGTTAAAGACGAGAAAAGTTAGTTCGTCAACGAGTGAGGAGAATCAAGTCAAAGGCACCATTGCCATCAACTTAGCCACTAACTCTTCCCTACTACCACTAATTATTTCTTTATCGTTTGTCATTATAATAAAATTTAAAAAAACTTAAGTGTCTTTATTACCAAATAAGACTAGACGGAATTTCAGATTAGTACATGTAACGTCAAGAATGTTCACTCAAATTCTCAAATTACTACTATATTAAACCTTATAGAGTTAATTTATTTTTTTTGTCAAAAATTTAAAATATTAATAAAATAGTTATTTTTTTAAAGATAAATTTGAAAAGTCTCATCAAACTTATGGAAAAACTAAAAATTATCTATGTTTTTGGGAGTCTATTATAGATTAGATTTTAAGTAAATTGATTTTTTATGAACAAAGAATCTGTGTTTTATTTTTTTGCATTGGATGTTTTGTTTAAGATTTATATGAACATTTTTATATGAATATGAAATACAAAAATGGATTATTTTGGATTTTAAATTAATAATTTTGATATTAATAGTTCCGTTTAACGAATCATACATACAGTAATTTTTTTTATAAATTCATAATTTTGAAAATATGATAATTATTAATTTATAGTGTTATTAATTTACTATAATTTTAGACTTGTGTTTATAAAATATTTTTAAGTTTTTAAAGAAGAAAATTTGTTTTCGTGCTATTATTTACTAAATAAATATGGTGAACACTTGGTGGACGTCGGTATATCCAATAGTTTTGAATATTCGTGCTGTATGGAAAGAATGTGTGCAGGCAGTGCAGCCCATATAACGCCTTGTTGAAAAGTGAAAAGGTTGATACTTTTTTAAAAAAATGCCCGGTTCCTATACGCAGGGAAGTCATTCAAGGGCCTACCACACAGGCCTTTTTGTTTCGTTTTAAATTTATTCTTTGATAAATCGTATTCTGTATTTAATAAACAATTTGCTATACTTAATCACTCGTAATTTAAATAGACATTGGCTTGTATTATTTTTAAAAGACTCAAAAAGTAAATAAACAGTGAAAGCAAATCAAAAAGGTTCGGAAGCTCAAAACGTAATCACTCTCTTTATAATCTATATTAAAACCTAAACACCAACCTACCAAGAGATGTCTTTATCTTTTATGTATGTCCCAAGTAAACATGGGCTTCATATATTCTCCAGTTCACCACCGCACGAATGCCGTAACTTTATTTTATTTTTTTACATGAATGGTCTTTTTGCATGTGAGCACTGAGCACATGCATGACTATTCTTGACATTCTTAAGCATAGAGTCAAAACGAGTTATTATGTATTTTATAAGCTACATACATAACGAATTACGGTGATTAAAATATATCTTGTTCCAATTTATCATTTATATTTTTTAGCTTTTAACGCATATGCAAATACATAAAGTAGCTATTATTTTATTAGTCTAAAACTTCAAAATAAAACTCTACTCCCGCAGCTCTACTATTTCAAATTTTCAATCTTCAAAACTCTACAATCTCTATTTGGACTGTAAGAAGTACGATCAGATTTATGTCAAAGTTTTGAGTGTAAAATATAAATGACAATATTCAAAAATATAAGTAATTTTATAGAAATGTATGGAAGTATATAAAATGACGTGTTTGTGGTTAATACTTAAATAATAATTTATATAAAACCTTAGATTAGCTGTTCTAGTCTTATGATTTTTTTGGCCATACTAATTACTTAGCAATGTGTATATTTTACAGTCCCGATTGATTGCTTATACGTATGACGAATCATGTGTACTCAAACTTGACTGGATCGGAAAGAAAACCTAAACCATTTTATTCCATAAAGCCGTTTAAAGAAATTTATAACGACCGACGTAACATATCATAAGTGGAACTGCATGAGAATGATTAAAAGACAACAAATCACACGATCACAACACATACTGACACACATGTATATGTGAAATTGCTTAAATATGATTAGTTGTGTAAACTGTGGCCAATGCCAGGGCTATGACCGGGTGATGTAGGCCTAAAATCTTCTGCCCCCTTACCTCCCGGTGGTGGCGGCGAAGGCGACGGTGGTGATGGCGTGAGCTGCACCGTCTTCTGATCAACCACCAGTCCGTTGTGAAATACCATCATTTTCCTGTTATCTTCATGATCAACATTCATATTTTTTAGGGTTCGTCCATGGACGCAATTAAACCCTAAAAAGAACACAAACATAAAAAAAACACAGGCGAACAATGTTTTCTTCTGACCCATAGAATTCCTTTGGAGAAAAAATGGGGAAAAAAAAGAAAACAGAAAAATAAGAGAAACTAAATATCGTTGTTAAGGACTCTCAAAATGTTTAGGAATGGTGGTGTGAAGTAATTACTTGCATCTGTGGGGCATTTATATAGAGACTAACGTACTAATTATTGCAAATAAACTACTTAATTTAAGTTTATTAGAAATTATTACAAAGTAGGTCGCATGCTAGTACTATTATTTTAAGATACAACGATTGGTGTATAGAAAACATGCAATTAATGGAATCAAAATTTAAATTACATATTCGATATAATATTTCAAAATCTTTGTAGCTTCTTCCTTCGCAGCTTCGTGACTACCAAAGTAAAATGACATCAAGAGAGTCCAACTGGGCTCTCGTTAAAGCCCATCTAATCTGAATTCTTGTTTTTTTTTTTTCTTGGCACAAATTCTGAATTCTTGTTACAACTACTTTTATTGTTTAAAAACTAATATTGTTTCTCTTCTTTCACAAGTGTAAACCTGGTGGGTAAAGTAATGTACATATACACCAAATGCAGAATGAATAAACAAATAATCTCATTCGAATTTAAATAGATAAATTAAACGAACTTTCGCTCTGTTCGGTTTACTCTGATTCGATTTAGCCAAAGAGTTGCTGAATCACAGCCTCAGCGTTTCCGTTGTATTGCGATAGTAGCTGAATTGCATCAGACCTTGACAACGCCAGAAATTCCTGAAACCATCTCTCTCGTGAGTCACTAATTTAATAAGTCAAGTAAAAACATTGGTCCCCAAGTCAATAAGGATCTTGAAGAAACATACCATTACTTTAAGTATTGCACTTTCTTCCCACAAGGCCTCTCTTGACGAAGTCTGAGTGGTCATCATCAAGCTGCTGCTACCACCATCGTCTGAGGTCATGGTGCTAGAAGACGTCGTCGTGAGTTGAGATGACAAATTTGTGTTGTTCTCTTTGTTTGATCTTGATCTGATAGCACCGATCAAATCAGTGTTCACATCTTTCAAAGAATCTATCTTCAGGAGGTTACTGAACCGGTCTTTACACATCTGAAGCTTGAACCACTCTGTATGCGAGTGAAGCGTCGCTCTAATTATTTTCATAAGCTGCGGTTCTTCAATCCCCAGCCTATTACCGACAGAAACCTTAAGAAAATGGCAGAAGCCAACCATTCGTTTGTCAAGCTTTCATCAGACAAAAACCAGGAGAAGAGATTTGGAACTAATAATTTATTAAACATTGTTGTTACCTGTAGCGTATTAGCCAGATCATTCAAAGGTAGATCTTTCCCAGTTGTGTTTTCGTTGTCGGGTTGGAGTAAAACTAACAAAGTTTCCTTCATTGTCTTCAGTAAAGACTGGTCTTTGGCTGCTAAGGGACCTAAGTGAGAGCACGCGACCTTTAGGGCTCCGTTGTGATCACCAGCACTCACCAGCTTTAAAAATTCAACCTGCGCATATATATATATAATCATTTTTTATCTCCCACTACCGAGCAAAAGAAGAAGAAAATACAAGCAGTTTATGTTGTTCTTGCACCCTTACCTGCTTAAGATGGAAATGTAAACTCGGATTCTGTGTGAAAAAGTCTGAATCCATGGCGCTGATTTCACAGACAGCTTCTGCTACCATTCCTCTGCTAACCAATTCCTTCAGCGCCAAGGCTATCTCATACTTGTCCTCTATGCCTGTCTCAGACTTCGAAAATGAAGGATCAGGAAGACGATCCGTTTCATCAACTCTCCCTCGCCATCTTTTGCGTTTATTGCTCTCACAGTTCATATGGGATCTTATTCTAACCAGAGCTCTTGTATTTTCACCTTTGTTTGACCAGCTATTGCTGCAATCTTCCGAAACGTTGGTTGGTTCACTGCCATAACCAACTTCACCTCCTTCTTTGCTAGACATTTCTTCGTCATTTACGTGTGAGCCATCAAGCATGCTGTTGTCCTCAACATCTGAATGTTGGCTTGTGTTAAGATCTATTTCAGCAGAACAATGTCTTGATAACCTATGGGCCACCTCAAATTGGTTGCGTTTGACAGGACCCGTGATCATTTGCATCTCTGATCACAGTTTAAAACGATAATAATTTCATAAAAAGCACAAGCAAGAAAAGAAGGTATAAGATTATGAACACAATGTTCTTGAATGTGCCTAGAAGTTGATCACCAACCTGATTCCACAATACCCCTATATATGCAGTACTCCTTAACAAGTTCATCAAGAACAGAAACATCTAACTGCATCCTACACAATTCATTCTGCAAAAAGTAGAAGAAAGAATTAGGCCTGCAATGCCGGTATAAAAGATTAAAAGTATTCGCAAAAGAACCCATTTAAAGCAGCGTAGGGATGGTGGGGAGTGATAATAAAGCAGAAAAGCTATTAGGAAATGCTAAACAAGGTAGGGGGGAGGATTTGGAAACCTGGAAAGCCTGGAAGAGGTCACCTTTGGCAAATTTCATGCTATCAACGGCACCTTGTCTAGTGAGCTCAACCGCATGAGCAAGAGCCTGAATGTCCACCTGAAATTTTGATAATTAAAAATCAGTTACAACAATGAGTGTTGCACGGTGAAACAAGAAGCTAACTACCAAGTTACCTCATCAAAGGGTGGGGCTTCGTACATGCTTTCCAGAGGAGTAGCAGGGGGATCACGTTCCTCAAGGAGCAACCTATGAGTGAGATCAGAAACTGCGGAGGAAATCCCTTGGTGAAAGCAAAACCCTTTATGTATGCTGGTAAAAAAAGCAAAAGATAAAGCTTAAATCAGAGCAAGTATAAAAAAAAAAGAGCAGAACAGTAGTGAATAATAACCTTTACCTGATAAGATATCGTAACGTCATTGAAAATAATGGATCATATGCTTGTAAAGAAGCTCTCAAGATAGATGACATGACTCCAGCCATTTCATACCTTCTTTTCTCTGCCCACTGTAGAAACAAAAAGCAGCGCATGATGTATAATATAGCAGGAGTTCAAAAATATCAAAAAATGATACAGAAAAATGTGAGAAACCTCGTTTGCAACTGGAGAGGTTTGATCATCTTTATCATAAATGAGTGCAAGAAGGAGATGCTTGAACTCCTCATAAGCTTCCTTAAAAATAGATAACCAATCAAAAACAGTGACTTAGTGATAACTTAAATAGAAAGAAAACGTGGAGCCAACACAAACAGAGAAAGAATCTAACTAAAAGCATAGTATGGAATATTCAGAGAGAGAGAGAGTAGTACCGGATAGGCATCAAGAGCAGAGGGAGCAACACAAGTCCTCAAGCAATGAATCGCAGCAGCACGGTCCTCATCTCTTCCTTTCCTCAGCAGCTCAATAAATTTCTAAACATTTACACAAAAAATAAAAACAGATAAGATTATCTATCTAATCCCTAATCCGAGAGAGAGAGAGAGATAAGGATTTAAACCTGTTTCTGAAGGCGAAAGAGAATCCTGTGATCATCGAGGACGAAGGGAGCGTGAGAGCGAAGGATATCGATAGCCTTCTGAATTTCACCGGATTCAATCGAGTTTCGGATCCGGCGAATGATCAATCTCGCGTGGTAAGAGGAAGATGAGATACAAGGAGGAGAGGAAGAAGAAGATGGAGACGGAGATGAATTCGCGTCTGCTTCTTCTTCTACCACGAGGTTCTCAGAGCTTACGAAATCGATTATCAGAGCATCTAGCGCTTCCCAATTCACACGTGTACAATCCATCATTTCTCGGTTTATTTCTCTGCTCTATTCGAAACAAAATCTGACGGCGATCTCAGAATTGCTCCGCCTGTGTGTGAAATTTTTGGGTTTGTGACGACGAAACGACAAGTGAAGAAGAAGCCGCCATTGCCCTTCCTCGTCGTGATCCAACCCACAAATTATATGCCACGTGGCCTTTTTAGAGATTGTCATTGTATTGTATATCTAGGCCCGCTATTTATTTGGGTTTAATTTTAGCCCAATTTATTATCAGATCGAACTTCGATTGTTCAGGACTTTCCTGACAATTTATTTATTTGTAAATTACCATCACAGGCCCAATCACAATTACAGGCCCAATGAGACAAAAAAGCCGCTCTATTTCTCGAGATATTTAAAGCCTAATTTAGATTAATGGTAGCAAAGTGTATGTAGCTGATGCTAATAAGTCAAAAGTGATAATAGCAACGTACTGTTTCGATACTAGAGAAGCGCATTCTACTGATGCACATGTCCTAATCTCTCACATTTGGTCATCATGTTGATAAACGCTAGCTACTTTTTTAGACTGTTAAACATTGGGCCCTGTATGATTATTAGAAAAGATACTTTTAGTGGTGTAGATAAAAATATATGTATACCATGTGAAACTTTGATGCATTAACGAGAGAGAAGTTGGAGTTGAACTCGAATAACTAATAACAAATAGACAGATAATAGAGATCTGTAAAGACTATGACAAAAGACATATGCGTTACTTCAATTTTTAAGACTGCAAAATTTAATTTTCTGAACTACTCTCTCTCTCTCTCTCTCTTGTACATCCAACAAAATTTACTTCCATTCCAAAGACGGATCTAAAAAGCTCACAAGATAGACGAACACATGAGAAGTGGAAAAGAGTTATAATGAAATAAAACCATCTCATCAGTCAAATAAAACACTAAATAAATTTTCAGATCTTAGATTAACATTAAAGTAAACATATTAAAAATCTGGAAGCAACCATGTTCCTAGCTAAAGCCAAAGCTTCTTTTTTTTTGCTTTTAATAAGCCCTACATACTCTTCTTCATGTCCCTGTAACTTGACCCTTCTCTTCCCCCCATTGCTTCCTGCACAGCCCAAAATTTCAAGGAAAAAATATTATATTTGACATTAACACTACAAATTGCATAACTTACATCAATGCCATAAGAAAAAGATTGATATTAATTACACTTTGACAAAATCCAGATAGTACCTGAGATTGTTTGTTGTTGATCAAATGAACAAATCGTTCTTCACTGTTCTTAGACCCAACATGGGCCCTCTTAAGGCCCAGAAGCCCTTTCCACCTTCCCTTAGAAGAAGAGGAAGAAGATGAGAAGACCGGTGGCCTCAGGGAGAAGATGCTGGTTGCATCACGAGGACTTTCTTCTTCTTCGTCTTCTTCCACGAGAAGCTCTTCTCTCAATGTTCTCTGGACTTGATTTGTCTCCTTGTAAGGCAGGAGCTTTCCCTTAGAGAAAAGTTCATCAGCAGGCATCATTGTGTAGTTGGAGACAGAGAACTCGAAATTATCAGAAGCTGTAGCTGAAGAAGAACCCTCTTGTTTGGAGAGAGGGCTTGATCTCGGCTTGTTTGTAGTCTCTGGCCTAATCTCAACGAAATCATTAGAGAAAGAGATTCTAGGACTCGCACCACCGTTGGAGTTGTACATTTCTAAGCATGCCATTAGAGTCTTTTGTGTCCAACTATAAACTCACTTTAAAGACTCTTTTGGAGAGAGATTCAGAGAGAGTTAATTCTGGTAGGGACAGTCAATTGCACAGAGAAGCCTTGTGCAGTAGTATTTATATAGTACCCAATACTCATTTAGTTCTTATGCACAAAGGATCAATGATGAAGCCATAATAACGAAAATAGTAGTATAATATTTATTTTTTCATTCGAAAAAACAAGTTTTTCCAGCTGTTACTGTTCTGAAGGAAGATATTCATTGGATACATACATGTTAAAAAATTATTTTATAAAAATTTTAGGTTCAAGGACAATTATTTAAATTTATCATCAAAGCAATATGTACAGTACATAGAAAGTAATTACTATGGCTGGTGATGTCTTGTACACGTGTGAGTTAGCTGATTGGCTATTGGAATTTCGACAAAAATAGGCCAAGAATTTCTGCTGAGACACGCTCCGACACATTTGCTAATTGTTTTTAAAAAACACATAGAACTGTTTTCTCATTGATAAAAAAACAACTGTTTTCTTTTACTTAAAATTACTTTGATCTTATAAAACAGCATTTCTATTTGGTGTGAAAATAGAACTGTATTTCACTAGTCCAAATGAAACTGTATTTCTATTTGGTGTGAAAATACATGCATATATAGCTTTTGTAAACGAAATGCATCAAACAAAATTCAGTTATAGGTCGATTCTGGTAATATACTAATGAGGTGTGCCATGAAATGTAAAGTGATGTTTGTTTTTTTTTTGGGTGAAAGATGTAAGTGATGGTTGTTTTTCTTGTCAAGCATATTGTATGGTGTCTAATTGGTTTTGACATCGTGTAAACCACTTATGCACACCTTTATTTTTATTCTATCGTGGCCTGTTATTATCTGGAAAATATGCATTGCCAAAATGTCAGGTCGTGTACATATGATATGATGTTTTGTCATAACGTGATATATTTGCTTCTCCTAATTGTCGTATACATTGGTATTCTTTTATTTTTTGTCATCTATGAATTTCATTTAACTTGAACGGAAGTACATGAACATTTAACATAAGCCGGCAAAAAACACATTTCTTCCGGAGCCATAAGCCGGCAAAGATCACGATCCTTCCAGAAACAAACGAAATTACAAAGGCATGAATACAACGTAAGGGTGGGTTATTAAAACTTAAGCTTGGAAACTCATATTAGAGAACTGAAATGAAAGTCCTGATGATAGCAACCATCAACCACAGGGGAAGAGCGCACCGATCTTCAAAATAAGAATAGAAACAACCCAAAGACTCTTGTTGGATGACTTGAAGGTACTTCCTATTCTAAGAACCAAAGAACCAATTTAGCATACATTGGTATTCAAAATGCTGATTTGCTTTTCATATTAAGGTTACTAAATAGTGTATTTTTGTACATTTTCCCCCGGCCTACTTTTTTCCTTGTTTGTAAAAGAACATCTCTGATTAGAAATTTCGAAGAGTCCCTAGCTAACTTTTTTCCTTGTTTTGCTTTGGAAAAGCCAAACTAGTAACACACACGTATGCATAGATAAATCTTAAAGATTTATTTAGAGTTATCTTGTAACAATTAACAAATCATATTGGAAAAAGTCGATGATTCGAAGCAGGGCCGTGCTTGACCATAAGCTGGTCAAGCATTGGCTTGGGGCCAATATGTTTATAAATAGTTTAGGGGCCAATTTAGAAGCTTTGGTAGTTTAGTGGTTTGGTTCTTTGTTACATTTGTCAAGGTTGCAAGTTCAAATCTCTCACTTTACACCTTTTTGGGGCCAATTTTTTTTACTGCTTCTTACCCTATTAAAGTCAGGCACGGCCCTGATTCGAAGGCAATATAGGATGATTCCAGGAGGCTTCCTTAAAATGAGATAACTACTAACTAATTTTAAGTTCTTTATTGTAGTGGATATTTTTATTTAACTACAATGCAGTGTTTTGAAAACCGACCCAGACCCGCGGTTGAACTGGTAAACTTGGTGACCCAAAATAAATCTGGTTCGGATTTTGTTAAAAATCCAAAATTTACAAACCCGTAAAAACTCAGAAAAACCCACTAAAACCCAAAATCCAATACCGGTTGAACCACTAGTTGAACCAATAAATAAACTTTTACATTTCTTTTTAGTTTTAAATTATTTTTTATTCACCTTTATATTCTAAATTTCTAATTTAAAAGTTAGGTTTTCACTTTTTAGTTATTGGCATCTTCTTAAATTTAGATTAATCTTTCTGACTTTTTATCGTATATAATACCTATTACACTATTTTATCTGTGATTTTTAGATTTTAATGAAGATTTCACTATACCACCTGAAGAAAATGAACTGAAGGGTGGTAGCGAGAACCAAAATTATTTGATGTTAGTTTATTTTTGTTATTGATAACGGATTACAATGATGTTTTACTTTTGGTTTATTTTGGATTTGAAGTTTAATTTATTATTCTCATTAGACATTTAAATATTTATGAATTTTATATCTTTATTTTTTTAGATGTCATTACTCTTAACTTTTTATAAAAAAATTTAAATAGTCTATAACTAGTTTTTGATATTTGTATATTTATACATTTTATGTTTTAAGAATATTTAGAAAATATTTAACTTTAGTTTCTATATTTTTATTTTTATAGCTAATATATTAATATATAATAAAATTTTATTTATTAATCCATGGTTCATCTGTGGTTGATCCAGTGACCAAATAATCCGGTAAATCGTGTGGTTCGGTGTCCGGGTCGAATTCTAAAAACATTGCTACAATGTTTTTGCTTTTGAAGAGAAAGGAACCTATTTAATGGTCGACAAGAAAAAAAAAGGAACCTATTTAATGAGGATTCTGTGACAGTCTATTATTAATTACGAAAAATATAAATGGTCAACCTGCATTAACTTTCAAGTTTTTCTACTGGTGTAAGTGAAAAAAGATCCCCCCTTGTGTATTTTACTTTTCACTTCTAGGGCTTGCGGCATCGGGAAGTAAAGAATGATCGTAGGTCCAAAACAAAAGATTCAAATTTGAATAATTGATAAAACTAATAAAAGTGGAAAGAAATGAGAGGGAAAAGATAAAAAAGGAAAGTGTAATAGTAGCCGGATTTGGAGAGATGGCATCTCTTCCCCGGAAGTGTCTTTGAAAGCTACGTCACTCCTTTTTCTACAATTTTCTCAATAGTTCATAGAAATGAGGGATACTAATACAATATGTATTTAAGACTCTGGACAACCAGAGCTTTTTTTTTTGTAAAAGTATAATTTAGCCAGAGTGTCTTATCTCTTATATGTTCCCGTGCAATAAATTCAACCAAAATTTTGTTTTATACTATTTATATATGGGGAGTTAAAAGTTTTCAACATTTTCATGAAATCTTGTATCGTGAGAATATAATTGATTTTGCTAAAAGTATCGTGAGAATATTTGAAAACTCTTTTCACAAAAAAGAAGAAATTTGTAAAATTTATATATAAATATTTCTATATTAGATAATTATTTATGACACTTTTTTTGTTCCATTGCACTATAATCTTAACACGGTTTTAAAAAATGGAAAAATATGAGCCATAATCTCTCCAGGATCGACTGTGGATTTGACTCAATAGTGAAAAGAGGGTTATAAGCTGGCGATGCCGACCCGTTACCTGACCTCCACGTGCTCGTTCTGTTACACTCACCAAGTAGTATAGTACTCCTATTAGAGAAACATCCATATACCTATATATACAACTAAATCGTGTTTCAGGAAAAAACAACAACTAAATTATGCTAAGTATTCAACTATAGAGAGACCAACGTGAACGAAATTTCGTACTGACGTGAATGTAAGGTTTAATCAATGTACCTTCGTTTATTAGTGTGAGGTCACATTTTAAGTAAGCATATAAGTCATTTCCTTCTCCAAAAAATTATTGTAATTAGGGCTAAGACCAAATTGGTATGTAAGATGATGTTTATATTTGTTCATTAGTAGTTTCTTATAATTTTATAAGGTTTAATTTCTCATAACCACCTTATAGTTTATTAGTTTCTAATATATGAGGAGTCTGTCTTTTTGGTATGGACAAAAAAATGATTTTCTTCCAATGTGAAATTGTTAACTCTATAGGTGTGATTGTAAGTGACAAATAGCAATAATATTATCGCCATAAATGAATTATGAATTACTCCTGGGTTTACCAATATTCAGTTATTTCTAATACTATTTTAGTGAAAAGAAATTTGATTTATACTATTTAAGTGAAGAAAAATTACTTCATTTTTATCTTCTTGTTTTTGAAGTGAAATTCTGTTATGATTATTTTATTTTATTTTTAAATTTTTTTTTCAGTCTAAATTACTTCACTTTAATTACTCATACGCGGAATCTTAGTATTTCCAACCCGTCTGAATACTTCTTCAAAGGTATCTTAAGCACTGATGCTAACAACTCTTGCATTTGTTTGTGTGTTAATTTATTTACAATATCAACATTCATGGTATATATTTTATGACCTAAATTTTGTTGATTTACTGATATAGAATTTGAAGCTTCGCTCCAATGAGGAGATCGACCTAGACTCTATCACCATCAAGCTACACTCCGTCACTACCAAGCGGTTATGGAAAAAGAGGAATCCAAGCCCAAGCTCTAAACAAGCGTTTTTGTTTGCAATCTACGCCATGATTGCATGTTTATATTTGACATATTCTTAAAAAAAAGATTGACATATTTTTAATTATCTTCAGCCATTTTATTTATGACACCATTAGTTTTTAGATACCTATTAAAAATAGTTAAGCATGAGGTTATGTTATCTTTTGATTCAAAGTTAATATTATCTTAAAGTCCTCAATATACTTGGTTTGATGATCGTTTGTTTTATGATAAAAGAAATATACGAGATGGAGTTTTTTGGTCATCAAAATTATTCTCAAGCTTCAGTGACTGATCTTCAAAGCTAAACAATGAAGCAAAGCGGGCAAAATAGCAATATATCCCTCGAAA